CGGCCCTCGCCCCCCTTGGGGAGACCCCCTCTGGCCGCGTCCCGTGCCAGCGGCCCCCCCCTGGCCGCCCCCCCCTTGGCGGCCGCGGCCCACGCCGCCCCCCCCCTAGCCGCCGCCCCCCTCGCCGCCCCCCCCCTCGCCGCCGCCCCCCTCGCCGCCGCCGCCGTCGCCGCCGCCCCCCTCGCCGCCGCCGCCGTCGCCGCCGCCCCCCTCGCCGCCGCCGCCGTCGCCGCCGCCCCCCTCGCCGCCGCCGCCATCGCCGCCGCCCCCCTCGCCGCCGCCTCCCTCCGCCTCGCCTGCGCCGCTTCCGTCCGCGTCGCCGTCGGTGGCCCCTTTCGGCTTTACACTCCGCCAGGGATTCTGCGCTGACGACAACGGCAGCAAGTGCAAGGAGCTTGGCCGCGAATTTCGCAAGGGTGACTACGGCGTCGCGCGGTTTGCGTGCCGACAGCTCTGCGAGGCGTGGCGTGGCTGCCAAGCCGTCGAGCTTCTTCGCCTCCGCAAGACGTATTCGCTCTGCAAGGTGTGCGGTTCGGCCGCCACGCGCACGAACAAGGCGCCGGCGAACAACGTCGAGTGTCTCACTTACAACAACGGGGAATGAGGTTGGTTCCCTGGTGCCCTCCCCTGCGCTGGACGGGTACCCCCCGCCCCGAATACACAAGCTTACCTGTAGGCGGACACGATATGCACCAAGGCCTGCGACGAGAAACGCGCGCGCGGGGGACGAGGACCCGTGCGCGGGGGACGAGGACCCGTGCGCGGGGGACGAGGACCCGTGCGCGGCGGGGGGCAAGGACCCGTGCGGCTGGGCGTGCGGCTGGGCCTATGAGGGGATTGGGGCTGGCGCAAGAGGGCCTCGGCGCCATCCACCGTGGTTGCATGTGCATGTAGCGGGGACCGACCGGCCGGGGTGGTGGGTGGCGCCTCTCACCCGGCGTCGTAGACGTAGTCCGCGTAGATGGTTCTTGTGCAGCGTCCCGCCATGTAGTGCTTGCCGGTTTCTGCCTGCTTGTTTCTGGGCTAGGTGGTGGCGCCCACGTTGCACGTAGAGCATGTGTAGTCCTGGAGAGCGAGCGCCCGCTCCTGGAGAATCTTGTGCGGGGTTTCTTGCGTTGTCCATTGTCGATGTTGTTCTTGTTGGCTTCTAAAAATCTCTTGTTTGTGTGTATAGCTAGGGGGTGCACAGCGCCCCAAAATCCACCAGTGTGGGATTTCGCGCAAAAGCTTCACTCTGAATAGCTCGCTATGTACCTTTCTGAGCGCTGTGGTCGCCGCAGACTGGCTCCGACTTGACGGCGGCATGGAGGCATGATGCCTCCATGCCGCCGTCAAGTCGAAATCGACATGCAGCTCGATGGTTTGCCCGAAAAGGTACATAGCGGCGTTTGGTCGACAAACAGCGCTGCGACCGCGAAGTGGCGGTGGACATGCTCCCATGTTGCCGACGCGGCGCCGGAGTGGCCGGCGCTGCTCGCCGCGACCACGACGGCTACTCTGATGCTCCGGGCCGACCCGTCCTACCCGACGGTGGCACTCTTCCACGTCTCGCTCACGCTGAGAAAAATCTGAAACGGCGTGCAGCAGAGTCGCCGACGAGTCGGTCTGCGTGACTCCTCGTGTCCCGTACCGTTCTCACACATCCATAAACTCACTTTGGCCTCACTGAAGCGATGCCTCAATCCTGAATCCTCAGATTTTAGATTGGGACGCTGTGCACCCCCTAGTATAGCCGTTATGGAAAAAGGAGTCTGGCGGCGTGAGATAGAGAATGTTGCTTGTGGGTGGACATGTACATGTTGATGGTGTTGCTGTCTCTGTGGTCCGTGGAACTTCGCGGATGAACACTTTCAAATGTGACGAATCCAAGAACAATCCACGAAATTCCGAATCGTAAAGACTAAAGTCGACTCGAGTACATAAAAAGCGGACACGTCGCACCTCCAGCTCGTGCTGCTGTTCGAATCGTTCGGCGGGTTCGCGGGGCGGTGAGGGGGCGTTTTTCGTACCACCGTCAGTTAACACTTAACCGCGGTGTCCGTGTGGGGACCGCACGCAGGCTGACACGCTCCACCTCACGCCAGCAGCGGGCGCCGCCACGTCGGGGACCGCGCTTGCCGCCGCGCAGAGCCTCGCCGCTCAAGGCGTCTTCAACGCCCGGCAGAGCTGCTCGATCGCCTGCCGGGGCCGCGGGGCGTTGTGTGTGCGATTCCCGATGCGAGCGAGGCGGAGGGCGGCTCGCAGGGGGCGGTCGAGGCGCACTACTGCGGGCCGCGAGGCCTCTTTGCTGCGCAGAGGCGGACACCGCACATCTTCCTCTCGGTCTCTCTCTCTCTCGGTCACACACACACACACACACACACACACACACACACACACACACACACACACACGCGCGCGCGCGCGCGCGCACACACACACACACAACAACAACAACAACAACAACAACAACAACAATCACACACACACACACACACACACACACACACACACACACACACCAAACACAAAACAATTGGTATTGCTAAAAATCTCTCTCTCACACACCACACACACAGAAGAGAGCACACACACACACACACAAACTGCACGCCTGGCTGGATCCCCGCGCGCGACGCCTGTTGCTCACGGAACCCGTCGCGCCCACACCGCTCTCCTGCCCCGTTCACACTCACCCTGCGATGCGCATCGCCGAGACCTCGAGAGAGTAGTGCCGAAGGCGCTCTTTTTGATTGAGAACTGTGACCATGGTCGACCCATACCCCGCATCCCACCTTGCATCCACCTTCGCTCCCCTTTGCATCCACAGGCAAGCCCATCCACTTCCCGTCCGCTCGCGCTTGCCGCGCCGCATTGCACCCGACTATGCCGCCGCGAGCTGCACGCCTAGACCCCCGCGACGCCTATTGCTCACGAAGCCCGCCGCCCCCTCACCTCCCCCACCACGCGATGCGCCGTCGCTCGCCGCGCGAGCGGCTGCACCCCCCTCGGGCTGCACCCCCTTCGGGCCTCGCAACGCCTGCCCACTCCCGCTCGCGGTGCCGCCACTGCCATCGACGAGCGCCCATACCCCGCCCTTGCCCCGCGCGAGCCCTCCGGACACAGCCCGCTCGCTCGCGTAGGCGAACGGCGGAAAGACCGATGTGAGGCTCTTGGTGGGCGAGATGCGAACGTTCCGGCAGATGTGAGGCTCGCTCCTCCGTAGTTGCACGCTGTAGATCTGCCATCGACACCCCTACCCCTCATCAAGAGAAACACGGCCCTCCATCCGGCGACAACTTTGATCAACGGGGTGGACTTCTTGTCGCCAAGCACGCCGGCGGCGGCCACTCGCGCTTCATGTGAGCCTCGCCTTCCCTGCCGTCCCCCGCCCCCTTGCCATTCCCTCCTTGAATCCTGCCTCACACATTCGAGCCTCGTTCGCTTCCAGGCGCTGCTCACCAAGGACCTCAACGTCTAGTCGTGTGGGTGGTGCCGGCCATGCCGCGCCGCCCACACGACCACACAGACTCCACACGACTGCCTATATGGTTAGCCGTGGCCGTGGGCGGGGCCGGGGGAACCTTTGTAGGGTTGAAAACATTTATCGCCGGAGCGGCCCTGATAATTTGCGTACAAGCCTGGAACAACACCTCGGTCTGCTAATGAGCCGCGCCAGCCCCTTCTTCGCGGGTCCACTCCACCACTGTCCCGTGGGAGACCCTGTCCCCGATCCACGAAGCGCGATCCCTCCGAAGCAGCTCAAAGTGGACATGTCAGTGGAGGCGCGCCAGCTGCTCGATGACACGCGAGAGCTGTTAATGCTTCCGCGAGAAGGAAAAGTATTTCGACTCGCATTTCCTTTGCTCTGAAGGTGAAGGTGGCTGTTTCCCAGTTTTTCTTTCAATCATGTAGTCCCCACATTCGCAATCGTGGATCGCTTGTCATGTGAGAGATTGTCATGTGAGAGGGCCGCACTTGGAGCACTTGGAGTGCAGTCGGCAACCTCACATCCAGGCCCGAGTCCTTTCTCTTTTTCTGATTTTGCCCGGCTCTAGGTAGAGGCCTCCGTTGTGCCGACGGCTTCTCAGGCCTTTGTGTGCACCTGGCTCTTCTGTGGACGCTTCGCATATATGGGCGACGCCGAATCACCGGTCAGCCTCGAGGAGGTCCTCCGCGAGACCAGCTTTGAGCCAGCGCCGGTTCGCTCCCGCTGCTCTGCGTGGCAGGCGCTCTGGCTCGCCCCGCTCGCCGGCTGGGCGGTGGCGGTGTGGCAGATTTCAGACACGGACCGGCCGGTTCCGGCAGCTCCGTTTGCGGTTATCGCGGTGGGCACCACCGTCACCACCGGCTGGCTCACGGCGCTCAACCACCCGTGCGAGTTCGTCGCCACGCTTGGCTACCGCGGCACGCTCTGCCTGTACGCGGGCGCGCTCATCACGCTCACGTGCCGTGTGGCGCTCGGGGAGCCCGATGCGAGCGGCGGCGCTCTGTTTGGCCTCCTGCTGGTGGGTAGCGGCCTGGTCATGTGGGCGTGCGCCACCTTTGTGCAGGGCCCGATCCCGTACATGCGGGGCGCATCGCTTCTCGTGATTGGCGTCCAGCTGCGGATCGGGACGGCGGCGGCGGCGCTGTCGGACGCCGGCGTGGACCGGACGAGCCTCGCCGTGTGCGAGGCGGTCGCCGTCGCCTGCTGGCTGCCCGGAATCGCCTCTCTCCTCGCAAAGGCGTACGAGGAGATGCGCCCTCCCTGGCTGTCTGCGCCAAACCACAACTTTGGCGCCTTCCTGATCTTCGGGCTCGGCCTCGCGTGCGACGCCGCGATCGGGCTGAGCTACTTTTGCGACGACCCGGTCGACTTGCGCGGCCTCGATGGGGCGGGTGGTAGTGCGGTCCTCCTCGCCGCCGCCGTGCTGACGCT